TCGGAAACCACGTGATGGCCCGCTGATGGCGACATTTCCGCATGATTTCAAAGTAAGAGCATGATGTTTTGTTTAATGCTCTGTTTTTGTATTATAATGAACAGCGGAACGTTAGATGCATTCTTCATCACCATCACCATCATCATCATCATGTTATAGTGATACAGTTAGTTTGTGTTATTGATTCAATATAGCATATATCGAGCACTTTCGTTGATGTTGAAGTGCAGGCTATACGCCACTTTCGGGTCCCGGGGGAGCAGCTCCGGGGGAGCAGCTGGCAGCGAAACAGCTCAGCTGCTCCCCCGGGACCCGAAAGTGGCGTATAGCCTGCAGATCCGCAAGCGATTTTTGGTCCACAAATACAAATTGGATTCACAAATGCCTGATCGTTTTACATTTACAAATCACATATTTACACACAAATTATTTTTATGTTCACACAAATAATTATGAGACATATCTATGCCCATATCTTATCGACGCTTCCATCCGTCCGTTTTTTAAAACAACATTTCCCACTGTTGTTCACTGTGGTTTGTTGTTGTCTGAAGTCATGAACGTTAGTTGGTGCTCCAGTATAATCGGTACGCCTGAAACTCATCCAGTGAGAAACGTTCCGCGGTGCAAAAATAAGTGCGATTAAAATGCGTTAATTTTTTTAACGCGTTAATTTTTATGTAATTAATTAATCTTAATTAACGCGTTAAAGTCCCGGCCCTAATGTATATATATTAGGGCTGTCAAACGATTAACATTTTGAATCAGATTAATCACAGCTTAAAAATGAATTAATCAGATTAATCACCATTCGAACTATGTCCAAAATATGCCATTTCTTTATATATATTGTTGGGAATGGAAAGATAAATGAAAGAAGTCGGATATATCCATTTAACATACAGTATCTATGTTTATTATAACATTGTTCTGCGTGTCAAAATGAAAGACAACCCACACACCTATCAATCATCAAACCGTGGGGTCTTAATTCATTACGTGTTGATTTCTATCAACGGGGGAGTACTTCAGGAAAGTCGACAGAGGGGGGGGGCGGGACTTCCTGCAACAACACCACGCCGTTATCAAAGATGTTCTATTGAGAAGACGATCACTACGTGACAAAAGTTTTCAAAACCGTGGCTACTGAAATCAATCGTACTAACTGCTGTCTGTGCAATTTACTCCGAGTTGGCAGACTTTATTTTGCTTCCTTTAACATCATTTTTCATGGTGGGGCTAAGCCATTTCTTGGTATGGGTGTAGCCTACCCCAGCCATACCCTGGCGCTGCCACTGGTGGCACGTATGGGGCGGGACATTCTGCACATGCGTTAAATATTTTTAACGCAATTAATTCAAAAAATTAATTACCGCCGTTAACGCGATCATTTTGACAGCACTAATAAATATAAATAAAACAATCTCTGGCCCCCGAAAGCGTCTCTTGGATTAATTTTGGCCCTTGGACAAATGTAGTTGGTGACCCCTGGTGTAGTGCGTCTCAGCTGACGAAGATGTGCGTGTTGAACGCCGTGCGGACCGGGAGCAGTCAGTCGTGCAGGAGGAGCTGTCAGCGGGCCCAGCAGAGGCTGCAGCTCCGGAAAGACAGGGCGAATCCACCGATCCCTCACATGGCGTGCAGCGGGAGGGCCGTGACATCCGAGGCGTGGATAAGTCCCAGAAGAAGCTGTCAGGTGTGCCTTAAGATGGACCAGTGCACCACCACGCTTTCCCCGTCGTCTAAAGCGCTTTCGGTGAGGCAGGATGCAGGGCAACCGGCGCAGGTAGGTGGGAATATACGACAGTAGAGGGGGGGGACGATTTATGGTTGCCAGATGTAGGTTTGGGCAGCAGTATCAACTCCAGTGAGGGTCTGAGGTGGAGGAGAGCTTGGCGATCGTAGATGAGCAGAGCAGAGACATTCTGAAATACATACAACAAAAGCAGGATAGCTAAAGGTAGAGAGCTGAGGGAGCGGCGAGCCGACACAGGCGCCATCTTCCCGCACACAGGTCACAGTAACAACAACAACACTCACAAAGGAATCAGCTGCTCACAGTCGATCAATGCTCAATGGATAATTAGGAACAAGTCAAATGATCTTGTTTGTATTTGGGAGCAGTGAAAGGTTTTAAATCCCATTTACTGATCAGCATGCAAGTCAGATATAATCCCATTATGTACGGAACATTAATGACTTTCTCTGAGGTTTCATTGGTACATTTACAGTACGAGCAAAAACACAACTTTAAGGTCAGAAAGGTTCAATATCCTCTGAGATAATAAAGCCAACAACAAACCGAAAAAAACTAAAAGATGACCTTTGCAACTTTACAGGAACACGTTATTATTTCCTCCGATGTAAGTGGTTAGCGAAGGAGAAACTAATGTAACCCTGGAAAAGTATATTTTTAGCAATGCTGGATCCACCTCATTGTTTTATTCTCAAATCATCAGTAATTTGTGAGATTATAATCCCAGAGTACATCAACGCTTCAGGCTTCCTTTCTTCTAAATGCATCCCTTTCATTTAGTAAACAAACAAATCCATATGTGGGGTTTTCCTCTGAAATGCACATTTTTCAAGTTGTTTCTAGTTGATCTGCTGTTGTGTGACAAGACGAATAAAAAGCTCGCCTTCAGTCTTAAATATTAGAACATGACTTCTATCTCTGGAATGTGTTGGGAGACTTCTGGGAAAGCATTTGAAGAGAAAAGTCCAGTATCTTTGGTGTTTCTCTCAACAAGAAGCCATTAACCCTTTACTGGGGAAACACCAGAGGAACACAGAAACAGATCCCTCCCTCTGTCATCAGAATAGAGATCATTAAACTAATGACAAGGGATTTACTAAAAGACAATCACTTAGTAAACTCACAATGGAACTTCAATGAAACGGAGAAACTCTGAGAACCCAGACGCATGTCGTTGAGGAAAGGTGGGAGAAATGGGTCGAGTATAGAACAACATAATGAAGATAATTCATACCTGAGTATTCATCATGTGTTCATTCTTTATTTGTAATATTATTAATACCATTATGTCTTTTCGTATCTGTCATCTGTTGTGTAGTTCATTTGTGTCCCTAGATGTGTTTGTTTTGTTTTCTACGCTTTGTGAATATTTTCTTAAAATGCAAAAAATAATTGATAAAATAAAAGGATATCTTACACACACATTCACACACACACACACACACACACACACACAAACACACACACAAACACACACAACACACACACACACACACACACACACACACAACCACACACACACAACACATACACACACACAACACACACACACACACACACACACACACACACACACACACACACACATACACACACACAAACACACACACACACACAAACACACACACACACACACAAACACACACACACACACACAAACACACACACGCACACACACCACACACATACGCGTGCACACACATTCACACACACACACACACCGTTTGTCATCTTGCAATCTACTTATTTATCTAAATAATTATCACCGCAATAAACAGTATTTCATTTTCTCTAAATGTACATTATTTCATTTCACATTCTGTTCTTGTACATATCAAACTATATTCACATGTATAGAGACTTCTTGCACTTTTCTGTATTTGTATTCTTGTATGTTATTATTTATGCTGCATTGATGGAGGAGCTCAGGTCAGAAGAGTTTCATTTCTACTCTGAAGCTGCTGAGCATCTGATGAGAACACCTTTGAATCTGGAATCTTTTGAGTCTTCTTACGACAGCATCAGAATACAGTCATTCAAAGTAGCTCCACCTTTACCAGCTGTGACGAACACATTCATAATAAATAAAATAATCCAGAGATCAAATATCTGATGGGCCATTACACACAATGTTGTACTTTTACTTAATACGATTTGAAATGCAGGACTTTTACTTGTCACAGAGTATTTCTACACTGTTGTATTTCTACTTTTACTTGAGTCAAATACTAGAGTACTTCTTACACCACTGCTTATTAGTAAACTACACTCATCTGTTCTACGTCTACATGCTTATGCTAAGGTTCTGGAAAACACAACTAAACGTAACAAGTGTTTTGCAGATGACAGAGATGTAACAATAAGGTGATCAATAATGATCCCATGCAGGAATTGAAGAGTGAATTATTGAACACATGTTGCCTTTTATTCAATTCAATTTGAAACTACTCATGATTATAATGTAACTGCACCAAGTTATGTTGTGAGTTGTGTTGGTTTACATATTTCAGTGTTGGCTCATACATCTCCAAAACCAAGGTAAGCATGCCGTGCCTTCAGACTTCACTTGAGTTGTTGTGTGTTGCTTTTTTAACGATGACTTCTGGACTTGTACCGTATCCTCTTGATACGTCCTGCGGTTGCTCTTAGTCTCTATGAAGCTAAACATGACACTTTAGGTCAATTCTTTAACATCAGCCTGATTTGTTGGAATGATAACATTGATGGGAATAAGATTAAGAAAACAAACACATTTCACAAGCAAAGGTTTCTTTATTGAGAGCAGACATGTGCAGAATAAGTGACACATTTAGTCATTCCTTCAGATTATATTTGAAAAACAGACATTTGGAATAGTTTGATTTCATTGACCGGGAGATTAACATAAGAACGCATTAACTACTAATACTTTCTGTTATTACTACTAGCACTGATTTAAAAAGGGAGAAAGCGGCCTTCACCGAATGATTTAACAAAATGGTAAGATGCGTTCCACTTCAGTGAGTGTTGAGAACTCTCTGACTTTACTGATAGAAATACAGGTGCTCAACCCAGCCACTGTTGCCCTCGTTGAGATTTTTCAGGATAACGTTGATGCCAGCCTCCTGAAAATCTTTAGACGCATCTTTGTTGAGAAGCAGGCCGATGGCCTTTATTGGGCTGGATCCTTCTTTCTTGTACCACAGGATCACTTTGTTGCCTCCGGTCCCTTTGTTCAGGTCAACACTCACTTTGTCGTAATCTTGCTGCTGATAGCTCAGATACTGATCATCATTGATGGAGACTTGCAGATCTTTGAGTGCCTTCTCGGGGTCGGTGGTCTGGCGGTACCAGATGAAGACAGAGGCTCCTCCTGCACATCTGTTAGCATCTTCATCCACACGGATGTAGCCATCCTTAAAGTGGTCTTTGTCTGCCCCAACGGAATCAGTGGCAATGACGTCACAGATGTAGGTTTGTTTCTCTCTCTTCAGCCAGACGTGGATCCAGTTCCCCTCAGCCCTGCGGTTCAGATCACAGGCCACTAGACACACAGGTACTCAACCCATCCATTGGTGCCCTCGTTGAGATTGCGCTTGACAAGTTTGAAACCAGCTTTCGGATATTCTTCAAACGCATCTTTGTTGAGAAGCAGGCCGATGGCCTTCATTGGGCTGGATCCTTCTTTCTTGTACCACAGGAACACTTGGTTCCCTCCGGTCCCTTTTTTCAGGTCAACAACCACTGGGTCGTAATTTTGCTGCTGATATTCCAGATACTGATCAGCCTTGACGGAGACTTGTATTTCTTTGACTGCCTTCTCTGGGTCGGTGGTCTGGCGGTACCAGATGAAGACAGAGGCTCCTCTTGCACCTCTGTTAGTATCTTCATCCAAACGGATGTAGCCATTCTTAAAGAGGTCGATGTCTGACCCAAAGGAATCAGTGGCAGTGACGTCACAGATGTAGGTTTCTTTCTCTCTCTTCAGCCACAAGTGGATCCAGTTCCCACAAACACCGCGGTTCAGATCACAGGTCACTCTCTCCCAACCAAAACCAAACTTTTGAGCTTCATTGGCTGAATCTGTAGTGACATTAATGTCCACTATGGGAGTATCAAACTCTCCGGACCCTTGGGAGTACCAAAGGTAGAGGGGACTACCTCCTACTCCAGCATTGAGATCTTTGTTGATCTTTTTGTACCCTGCTTTGATCAAACCATTAGCCATCTCTTCGTTGAAGGAAACTTGAACCTTGGTGATCGCCAATGGTCCATGTTTGGACCAAAGATGGCTGGCACATCCTCCTGCTCCTTCGTTCAGATTGCCATCGATTACATCGAAGCCTCGCATTTTAAGGTTTTTCTCCTCATTTTTATCCAGGGACACATCAAGCTCTGAGATGTAGCTCATTGTGGGTTCCTGCATTACAGAAAGACACGTCATGAGTAATCACAATTGTAGTTAACTGAATACATCTGACTTTTCAGCTGAGCTAGAATATCATCCTTCAACCATCAGGAGTTACATTTTGAAAACAACAATGACATCTAAACCAAGTTCAAATCAAATGTATACTGCACAGAGTTCTGCAAAGTATTGATTACAATGTTTGTGAAATACAAAAAAGGTATTCCAGCAAGAAAGCAAGACCTTGTTGAACACTTACGTGTGTGCTGACAGCGAGTGATAGGCAGTAAGAAGTCAACTGGTGTGCTGAAGTCTGTTGTACTGACCACAGGTCAGCTGCATATATATAGAGCACAGAGATGCTGTGGGGCATTGTGCAATCGTTATCTGGAAGGAGTCGTATTCTAAGGAAAATGATGCTGAATTCATGCCAACACGATGACTGAAGCCAAATGAGACCCCGTATCAAGTGTGTTTATGGGCGTGAGTGTTTTCATCAGTTCTGTGGAAGTCACAGACCTATGGACCCAGAATTATGGTGCAAGAGGTAATTAAAGCAGAAATGTACAACACACACACACACACACACACACACACACACACACACACACACACACACACACACACACACTGTGGATAAGTGTTCACCTTAATCCACATTGTAAATTGTTGCCTTCTTTAGAGTTATTAGTAATTCAAGATTAATTATTAAATTAAATATGGAACATAAGATCAAATAAATAAATAACGTTGACTTGATACTTTTGTTCACGACATTAGACCTGTCCTCTAATCTCTACTAGAATAAGATAAGTGTGCATGTTGGGTGTTTTAACACTCCCGTAATGCACCTCATCTTGATATCCTTTTCATTACAGAGCTGGGAAATGGTGTATTGATTAGATGCTGACCCGTGCACGTCCAATTTTGACTGACTTTAGTCCTAATGTGAATATGAGTTCAGCCCATAAGTCATTCTTTAATTGGTTCAGATACATGACTCTGGGTTCCACAGAGTGGGTTGTTTTTTAAGGCTATTCTGATCCACGTTCGTACCAAAGACAGATGGCATTTCCTCCTGCTCCTTTGTTCAGATTGACATTGATTTTGTTGAAGCCATCTGATTGGAGCATTTGCTCCTCAGCTGCATTCAGGGACACATCAAGCTCTGAGATGTAGGTGCTCGCTGTGGGTTACTGCATTACAGAAAGACACATCATGAGTAATCACAATTGTAGGGGAGGCGTGTGGCGCAGTGGATAGCGCCTTGGTGTTGGGATCAGGTTCAAACCCCACTGCAGTCAGCATGTCGTTGTGTCCCTGAGACACCCCAAAGTGCTCCTGTGGGGATTGTCCACAGTATTGAGTATGTAAGTGGCTTTGGATAAAAGCGTCTAACAAGTAACATGTCATGTTGCAGCTAACTGAATAAATCTGACTTTTCAGCTGAGCTAGAATATAATCCTGACAAATTCAACCATCAGGAGTTACATTTTGAAAACAACAATGACTGGTGGGTGCTGTCGGCTGTGCGTGGCGATGAAAGCTGGTTCGAGGGGCCCCCAGTTAATGTTTGCCTAGGGCCCCCACAGACTCTAGAATCGCCACTGCCCGACAGTAAAGAATAAACTAGTAGAGCTAGTTCCAGAGTAGATCAAATAGCTAAGTGTGTTAGGTCTTACTCTTAGTGTGTGTTTTGCTCTGATCACCGGTTCGTCACAGCTGTGATCCGGTAGAGCTGCGTGTTCTCCGTCAGCAGCAGCTGATCCTAATCTCTCTCTCTATACTTCACTCGCGTTTATGTCCAAATGAATCCATCAGATCTAGCTAGTTGTAGTTAATGATATGACTGCCTGCTTATCAAAGGACACTTTACCAATAAGCGTTGCTTGGCAACGGGGTGTGGCCGCAAAGTTTAGCTCATAGGCTATGTTTATATTAGGGGTCAAAATCCCGGCTGGCGGTTATAGGTATAAATGCTCATATATTTTTTCTCTTCATTCCCCACGCCCCAAAATAAATAAATAAATATACAAATTTTAGGAAAAGTAAGGAGGTTTGAGCAGTGTGGGTTTTATATGAACAGAGTTACAGATATTTCAAAACATGAAGTGTAATAACTGCAGTGGCCTCCCTGTCAGAATGACACAGATCCTCAGTGAAGCTCAAGCCCATGTTTCACTACATTGTAAGAACAACTTATTAAAAAGATCAGTTCAATGCAACTAATGTCGTCTCTGTGTTATTGCATGATGTTAAAATTGGTTTGCCATGAATTTAGTGATGGATTGTAAACATTTGAAATGTAGCATTTAAGTGTTTCTCAGTTAGAAGGTTGTTGTTTTAATAAATCAGACTGATGGTGCAGCGCTGCACTGTACCTCTTTATAGGCTTTTTGTCCCTAACAAATAGTTTTTGCGCTGATCAGGGGGGACTTGGCTGAATGTACATTATTAAGTTGCCATTTCAAACGTTAGAGTGACCAAGAAGCTAAGAGTTCTTCATCATTGCCTTAGTGGGAGGAGTTGGGACATGTTGACCTCTCAGGTGTTCAACAGGTTTACCCGCTTCACACCAGACACCATCTGCACACAATGTTAATGAATGGGAACTCTAACCAGAGTACAGTGAACACCACTCCCCAGAGTACTTCATCATAAAAGCTAAATTGTTGAAAGCAATAATAATAATAACTTAGATGTATAGAGCGCCTTTCAGGGGACCCAAGGTCGCTTTTCAGCAAGAAACAGGAGCAAAGCATTCAAACCTTTGTGAGAACATGGAAACTGCTGTACGTATCACTACTTTGTGAATCTAGACCAATGTGCATGCTCAGCATCACTTGCTTTGGTGGAAGAAATGGGGAAATACAAAATCATATGCGTAGAAGTGTGTATATGCATATATTTCACCTAAACTGTTGATATATATGGAGAATAAAAGTGGACCTAAAACAGAACCTTGAGGAACACCATTAGCAATGTTTAACCACTCAGAAGACAGCCCATCAAAGTGAACACATTGGGACCTTTCAGAGAGGTAGTTCACAAACCACCCACTGCATGGCTGGATATGCCGATACTGAGTAGCCTCTGCTTTAAGATGCGATGATCGACGGTATCAAACGCTTTGGATAGGTCAATAAATAGAACTCTGCTTATTATCTAAAATACTCTCCACATCATTCACCACTTTCATTGTGGCAGTGATGGTGCTGTGTTGCTTTCTGAAGCCTGACTGATGTTTAGACAGGATGTCATTTGTACATAAAAGCACCTTTACCTGTTCACTCACTAGGCGTTCAAGAACCTTCGCCAGAACTGACAACTTAGAGATTGGCCTATAGTTATTTAATAAGGTTGCCTCCCCTCCTTTTAGCAAAGGCAGGACATAAACTGACTTCCATACTTTTGGAATTGTGTTCGTGCTGAGAGAGAGGTTAAAAAGAGTAGTGAGAGGAAGAGCAATAAAATCTGCAGCTATCTTTAAAAAGAAAGGCTCTACGTTGTCCGGGCCGGCCGGTTTCCTAGGATCTAACTTGGTTAAAGCTTCACGAACAACATCAACAGTAAAAGGGGTAAAACTAAAAGGGTTTTCCAACACAGGTTTTTCAGAGTCACATACTGTGGTGTTCACAGAAGCAGAGTTAGTGACAGAATCAAACAGAGAACCACAGGACACAAAATGCTCATTAAAACAATTTAGCATAGTAGCCCTGTCCGATATAGAGCCAGATGCTGTGGTAATGCACGGAGGTAGCTCATTACGGATCTCACCGGTGGATAACGATTGAATGGCTTTCCAACATTTTCCAGGATTATTCAGATTCTTTGTGGTTACTGACAGATAATACTTCGATTTAGCACTTTTGATTTGCGATGTGAAGCTATTCCTTAGCTGCCTGAAACGCAGCCACTCTACCTCTGAGCCTGATTTCCTAGCCTTTGCCCAGGCCTTGTTTCTCTCATGAAGGAGACTGGACAGCTCAGCAGAAAACCAAGGATTGTCTCGTCCCTTCACTCTAAATGTACGCAGGGGTGCATGTCTATCAATGACCTCCATAAAACCAAGATAAAAATAAGACCATGCAGTCTCAACATCAGCACACAGATCGATTTTACCCCAATCAAACCCAAACAGATCATGAACAAAACCCTGCTCCACAAAATGTTTGATGTCTCTCTTAATGATAATACGAGGTTTAACCTTTTGGACCTTAGTGTCCCTAATTGTGGCTACAACACAGTGATCACTCAGATCATTCGCAAATACTCCCACAGATGAGTATTTATAGGGAACATTAGTTAGAATGAGATCAATTAGGGAGGATTTATTAGGTGACTTAATATTAGGGCGAGTAGGACTGTCCACAATCTGAGTAACATTCAAAGAGATACAAAGGTTTTTAAAATCCTCTGACACTGCAGTTAACCAGTCCCAGTTACAATCTCCAAGTAGCACTATTTCCTTGTAGTCTAGTTGGGATAAAATATTTGCTAGCGAAGACAATAAGTCTTTGACAGCTGAGGGGGGTCTGTAACAGCCTCACCACCATGACCTGTTGCCCCTTTGCCTCTTCTATATTTAAGGCTAAAAATTCAAATTGCTTACTGATTGATTTGGAAACTAATGTGGATACACTGAACTTATTCTTAACATAAATGGCAACGCCACCACCTTTATTAGGCCGGTCGGTACGATACACATTATAACCATTTAAGGCAATGTCAGAGGCCAAAATAGATTTGTTTAGCCATGTTTCTGATAAAACAATGACGTCACCGTCAGTTGAGCCCAGATACGGACAACATCTAGTTTACCTAACAGACTGCGCACATTCAAGTGGATGAAACCCAACCCAGCTTTAAAATCAGCAGGAGTAGCGATCTGACTACTACTACTGGGCGGACCAGGGTTAGGTTGTACATTTCCTGACAGTAATAACAACAACAAAACCAGGCATCTTTTCCTCTTAAGCGACACACATAATTTGTCATCTACTTTAGAAACACCGGAAAAGTCTGCGAGAGTGTGATTAGAGCTTAAGAAGCAGTCCTGAAGAACCATCATCGCAGGAAAACAAAAAAGACAAACATATTTTGTCGAGCAGATTGTCTGTGACAAGGCAACCGGTAATTGTTTGTGTAACACATCCGAACCTTTGCAGGGGATGCCCACTGCGGGTGGCAGAACAGACCTGAATCCAGTAGTCTTCTCAGAATGACTAGAGATCTTCTCATAGTCCAAAACAGTTAACAGGCACAGCAGAATCCCGATATGGGCCATTTTCCCAGACCAGCACACAGTATCCGCGATGTTCCTGGAGCAAATCAGCACAGCAGCAAAGGACAGGCGAAAGCAGCAGCGTGGAAGCGCTCCGGTCCCTCCGTGGTATCCCCGGGGTGAAAGCAGGCCTCTGCAACAGCAGAACCAGGACAGGTGGAAAGCAGGCCCCAGCCGTGGTAAAATCCTTCTCCGCACAGCAGCACAC